ACAAGATTGTTCAATTGCTAAATACAATTAATTATGTGCCTTAAAGTAGCTAGGATTATATACAACTGTTTTATGTAATGCTGAGATGAAAATTCTTTGTTTAAACCAAAATGTTTCCTAAACATTTTACCCATAATTCTACCTTAAATATGATATTATCATATTAGATTCAAAGTCATTCCTATTTAATGAGTTAATCTTGCAAATCTCCATGAAGTTATCAAATATATAATCCAAAACAGTTGATGCAACATAAAAGCAAAAACTAGAGCATTTTAGATGCAGCTGATTGTCATATTTCTGTGATAACTCTCTTTGGCCTTTTTGTTCACTTCGCACACTTATTTATCTGTCGCACTTTTCATGTTCATCATCCCTTTAAAAGCATCTCCATGAAAATCATGACTTTCCTCGTCTTCCCTATCTCCTTCCAGGGAGCCATCTGTCAGAGTGTTATGCAGATATTTGAAATGTAGCTTATCTTGACCTTTTTCAAACAAATGCTCTTAGCTATTTTACACTGTTTTTCTAAATTAGACTCTACCAGTATACTTTCCTAGGAAATTACAGGACATTTTACAATAAAAAAGTTATATTCCACCGAAACCGGTTTGGCTCAATGGATAGAGCGTCGGCTTGGGGACTGAAGGGCCCGGGTTCGATTCCGGTCAAGGGCATGTACCTTGGTTGTGGGCATATCCCCAGTAGGGGGTGTGCAAGAGGCAGCTGATCAATGATTCTCTCTCATTGATGTTTCTAGCTCTCTATCTCTCTCCCTCTCTGTACAAAATCAATAAAAAATATATTTAAAATTTTTTTTAAAAAGTTATATTCCTACATAATCCTCTTGCAATACTCAGATGTCATTTAAGCCTCCCTATATATCCATTCTCTCATTTTTCCACATTTACAATTAAAAGAAAAAAATCACTGTAATTGCTAATCTAATTTTCTCTTCTAATATTATTTTGGAACCATTCCCTATTATAATATATCGATAATCAATATTTAAGTGTGGGTGCACAACATTCCATACTATTAATTATATTATGTTTAGTTAAGCATTTTATCCATGAATGGGAATTTCAATTGATTCAAATTTTCTCTACTTTAAGTAAAAATAAAACAACTGTCTTTTTACATATCCTGAGAAGGTGACCAAAATATACTACAATCTAGAAGTTGCTCTTAGCACAATGTGGCCACCCAGTTTTTCTGTTTCTATATTTATGCTTCTAATAAGTTGTTCAAAAACTCATACTAGATTCTTTCCTCAGATTTATTTGCTCTTTGTTGTCAAAGCCTTATATTGCTCTGACTATAGTCTATATATTATTTTACACACTTAATACATATTAACTTATCTAATCCATATGCTAGCAAATCCTATGGAGTTTCATATATGTATTCGTAATAGAGAATATTTTCAGATGAAGAGATTGAGATGCAGAGAGGTAAGGGAACCTGCCCAAGGGCAGAGAGCTAGTAAAGGCAGAGCAGATTGGGAAGGCAGACCACCACCCCACTATAATACTACTCTGCTGCCTCTCACAGTCACATTCCTGAAGATCAGAGACAATTTCAACTAGTTGTCTTCACACTAAAAATTGTGAAGTTGTTACCACCATGACATTGTGTTTCCTTGACCAGTAATATTATCTTGGGTAGAGAAACAAGAGCAGGGCCATTAGCATTTTCTGCTATGCTACATTGCTGCATTTTAGCCATGGGTTGATTTCTTATCCAGGAGCATGCTTAGGAAGCAGTACTCTCTCAATCCAACAAAACCTTTATCGAGGGACCATTACTTACAAGGCATATTTACTAGTAATACAGATCTGGAGGGGAAGTGTAGTGCACCAAAGCCAAAAATCTGCCCATATGCCAGGTCAAATCCCTAAATAACCTGCCCTACTTGAGCCAGACCTTGAGAGGTGAGGGTTTGAAACAGCAGAAGGTACTTTGTCCAGCACGTTTGCAGTACATCGTTAACTCAGAAGATCTGCAAGAGCGCAGAGTGGTCCTGGGCTTGGGGTAAGCAGTGGTCCAGAGGAACCGGCTTTCCTGGGATCCTCCTGCATGCTGTGCGTGAGGATGATCTGTGCATGAGCCTATCTCAGGGTGAGATCTGAATATGCCCTGTGGCAGCGACCTCATGATAAGTGTGAGATGCTGATTATTTTTATAGTGAAAAGGGGTTTGCTTAAGCCTGATAGTCTAAATTTAATGTAACAAATTCTAGGACAGAATCCAGCTTGAAACAGATTGCTAATTATTTAAGTCAAGAAGTTGACTTAACTGAAAAAGAAAAGAAAAAAAAAAACATTTCTGAATTAAAAAACAAAAAAACTGGAGAAGGGGAGCAGTTGAGCAGAAGAAAACCCTATCTGTTAGAAAGAGCCAAGACAAACAACTGAAGGAGAAAACATCTCCACCCAGCAGGAAGCCCCGCTGACTTTAAGAAACGCCACAGAAAAAGGATGCTATAAGGGTCCTCATTGTGTCACGTTAGCTCACGACTATATAGGAGGTTTAGGAAATAAGGAATCTCGCTCTGGAGGTGTTCATATTCTTGGAGGCAGTTTGAGTTCCTGTGTGTTTATAGTCTTGATGGCAAACAGTGACTCAGAGCAGAGAGAGAGACAGGGGGAGAGAGAAGAGACAGAGAGAGAGAAAGATAGAGAGAGAGAAAGAGAGAGAGACAGAGAGAGACAGACAGAGAGAAAAAGAGAGAGAAAATGTTTTCATTTATTGAGTGTTAGCAGCATCAAGAACACTTTGAAGACCAGCAGCTATGTCTACATGTCTCAGCACAATTATATCTGGAATTATGACAACAAAAGCAAACCATATTTTTAAGCCCCAATAGCTGAATAACAGAGAGGAAATTGGTGTTAGAATACAGGGCTGCTATCCCAGTATTGTAAAACCAGGATTGTTTTTGTCTAGGGCTTAGTTTCTGTAAATTTGATGAGGGTCGTGAGAAAGCCTTGAGATGCCTCAGAAATTCCTGAAATAGTCACAGAGAATGGGGGGAAAAAATCTCTGTGTATGGCGAACCTTTGAATGGGAAAGACATGGATTTGAATCTGGGATCCTTCCTTTACTCATTCTTTATCTTTGACTAAAGTTATGTTGGACATCTAGGAAGAGACTTCCCCATCGTACAGGGTTGTTGAGGGCATTCAATAAACACATACAAGAAAACACTTAGCATAGTGTGAGCAACAACAGTTTCCTTCCCAGGTTACCACAGTTTTGCCACCCTGCATTGCTATTGGATGCACAAGGTTTTTAGATGATATAATATACGCTTGGAAAATAGCAAAAACGGAAGCACAGTGTTTTGTAGGTTTTGTTAGGCTTTCTCGAGTATTTTAATAAAGGATCAAAGCTCATTTTGAGCATCGTGTTTGTAATTAAAGAACGTCTTAAAAAGTAAATAAAAGTTTATATTATTTTTAAAGGAAATATTTCTAGGCTGTGAAACATTGGGAACTTTGTTCATATTTTTATTTGTTGAGTATCTGTCGCTAATTATGCTTTATTCAGTGCATTCTCCTAGCCCTCTCTTCTCATTCGTGACCTGTATTTGACCCATGACTGTCTATTTGTGGCTATGAACATCTCAGGATGGAGAATCTGAAATAGAATCAAACAAAAGGACCTAGTGGTTGAAAGCAGCCAAGGTCACACATGGGATCATGACAGTTAAAGATGATAAGATCAAGGATGTAGCCAGGCACTTAGTCATAGGAAGTAGGAGGAAGTAGGTGACTATTGTAAGAGGAGAAAGGAAGTCATAGATCAAGAATTATTAAGGAACAAAAAGTAAAGATCTTATAAGAATTGTCCACGTGGAAACAAATTGTTCCTTTTTATTTAATGAATAGTATCACATGGTGTAAGAAAAGATGCACGAATTAGGAAATGAAGAGGGAGAATACTAAATTATTCAATGTTATGTATCCTTTGATAAAAATTATCCCTATCTTTTGTATTTCATTTTGATGAATTTAATGCTTACTAAACCACCTTTGGTATTTAAGTACATACTTGTCCTTTAAATATATATTGTATTTTGTAGGAACAAACACATTATAAACACAGATTCCAAAAGTCCTGGATGTATATTTTCATCATCCTTCATCTTTGAACAATACTGGACTTTCTCCTCAATATTTTTAGGATTGTAGTTTTCTGAAAGAGGATTTTCATTAGATAATGATTACTATTAATTTGTTATATATTAATGAACTGATTAAAATTCATGGAACCGGGATTGAATTTTTATTTAATGTTTAATTTTGAAACATCTAAGACAATTTTTGTCTCTTTTTAAAATATTTTTATTGATTTCAGAGAGGAAGGGAGAGTGAGAGAGAGATAGAAACATCAATGATGAGAGAGAATCATTGATTGGCTGCCTTTTGCATGCCCCCTACTAGGGGTTGAGCCTAAAACCTGAGAATGTGCCTTTGATCAGAATTGAACCCAGGACCCGTCAGTTCACAGGCTGATGCTCTACCCACTGAGCCAAACTGGCTAGGGAGACACTTTTTGTTTCTAATGTGTACATAGTAACCACTTTGTTATTATGAATTGACCAGTAAAGTCGGGAAATTGAATTATAATACAATATCTGGGAGATAATGACCAGTCTCAAGAAGGTCAGGCTTTCCAGGTCAAAACTGTCTCAATTACACAAAACTGCACAGCTGGATGAATAAGTTTAATATAAAATTGATTGGTATGCTGAAATGACCATCTTTTTATTTTAAAATAGTCAAAGTGGTTGTTTAAGTTTTAAACTGTTTACCCCGGTGGCAAAATCCAAATTACAAGCCATTAATAAACTTAGTCATTACTTTCAAATTACATATAATCAATGGAATTTTGCCTTTAGCATATGTGTTTCTTAATCTCCTGAGTTAAAGAGACTTGCAAATGTATAATAGACTCTATTGTGGCATTTAAACTATGTGTTTTCCTTTTTTTAGGTAGATCTTCTTGTCCCTACCAAAGTGACTGGCATCATTACACAAGGAGCTAAAGATTTTGGTCATGTACAGTTCATAGGCTCCTACAAACTAGCTTACAGCAATGACGGAGAGCACTGGACTGTGTATCAAGATGAAAAACAAAGAAAAGATAAGGTAAGTCATCCATGTGGTTTATAACATGCTGAGGTGGAGGATCAAATTGTATCCAAGTTTGATTGAATGAATTGCTTATATATATATTCAATATATATAATGAAAACAATGGCCACATTCATTGAAAAATGTATGTTAGATAAAGCTTTAAAAAATAGCACTGTAAAGGAGTTTATAATCAAATATGGTAATGGTGCAGGAAAACAAATTACTTTACTAATAACAATTTCTATATTCTCAATTGCCTAATATCCAAATAAGTAAGATTCAGCTTATATTTTATAAACCTAATAGAAACTTAACTAATTGATCATAAGGCACATGTAAATATTGTTCCAACACATGATGCTATTATTTTTATTATTAAAATACATTACTGGTTCACATGGAAAATGTTCTTTGGAGAAAAATAATTCAAACATTAACTAAAATATTTTTTTAATTTTGTATTTTATATTTTAACAATTGGGAATTTTAGAAATATACAAATTTCAACTCTTGTACTAATTCATCAAAATTAAAATACAGGACATTCCTCTGCTCAACTTCCTAAATTGAGTTTTGATTCATATATTTGTTCGATTTTTTATCTGTATAATTTTTTTAATATTACAAGACAAATATATATTAATACATCATACAATTCTATCCCATATAATTTCTAGTTGTCTTTCTAAAAGTTGTTACCATTTTGAGTAACTTTTTCTGGTATCTACTGGTCTGGATTTTTATGGACCTTGGAGAATGGACATGCTCTGGATCAATATCGATAATTAGTTGGGTCAAATATTAAAATATGGTGTCAGCTGAACTAATGAAATTAATTCATTGCTTGTAATCTTTTTGCAAATAACCCTAGCTTTCTGAGAACATCAACAGACACAAAATATCTTTGTTTAAGGATCTGGGTGAACATATACAATTTTTTACACATTAAGTATTTTATATAATAGTTATTCCTGTTATTGTGCAATTAGCCAATAGAGAGTTGAGAATGTCTTTTTTCTTTAGATATTCTGGCAGAAAACTTAGAAATTTTTCTAAAAATTCTAATCTTAAAAAGCAATGGCTTTTTAAGCGAGTCAACAGAGTCTGAATTTAGTTCACACAAAATTTGTTTTAGAGGACCATGTTTTAGTTTAGCTACATCTATTTACCTTTTAACACCTTAGAGCAAACTCATTTAGCTTCTTGATACATTCATTGAATATTTCAGAACACACACACACACACACACACACACACATTTTACCATGTAAAAACTGTTGTATCTTGTAATATCACAATTTGTCAGCACTTATTATTTTCTAGAACATAAATTAATGCCATGTTTTATAATTAGCAGTATCTTATATTGAATTAATATTGGGTATTTTGTAAAACTCTATTCAAATTTATTTTTGAGCTGTAGACAAATACCTGCCATCATTTATTGCAAGTAATGATTTTAGTTCCTTTCTTTCACATTTTACAATAGGCAGTCTGATGCATAGAAAATATTTATGTTTTATAAGGTGAAGATTTATAAACTTCATAAACTTCATACAAGTCTTGAAATTAATTTTAAAGTAGATAAGTATTTTCATCCATAACCCATGTCTAAAAAGCACAATTATAAGTAGAAAGCACATTTATAATAGTAAAATTATTATATTGGATGATTTGGGAAGAGGTATAAAGAAAAATATGGTGAAACCATTGCAGTGGTGAAATACTTCTTTGTCTTCATTCACATTAAGCATGTGATTTAATGATTATATGTGAATAATTTAATTTTTTTCCTTGATAGACTAGAAAATTTCATATTAACATATTTTACTTCATTGTCTTGGTCTGAAATGTATGTAAAAGTTTTGTGCTATGTTGGCCAAGTTACTTGATAGTGTTGTTCAAGTGTTCTAGATCTTTACTGTTTTGTTTTGTTTTTTCTATTTGTACTCTCAATTACAGAGAGAACAATGTGAAAATCTCCAACTATAATTGAGAATGTCTTCTTGCAGTTATATCAGTGTTTGTTTGATGTATTTTGAAGCTCTATTAAAAGATGCATGAGTGGTTAGAATCATAATATCCTCTTGCTCAAATAACTCCTTTATCATTAGAAAATGCCCTTCTTTATCCTGATAATATGTTTTACTCTGAAATCTACTTTATGGGTATTGATAGAGGTACTTCAGCTTTCTTTTGATTAGTGATATGTTGGTATATGTTTTTCCCATCCTTTTACTTTTAGCCTACTTGTACTTTGTATTGGAAGTGCATTTCTTCTGTGCAATATATAGCTGGGTCTCTTTTTTTAAAATCCAACTTTCTCTGCCTTTTACTGGAGTATTTATATTTGAAATGAGTATTGATGTAATTGAGTGCATATCCATCATCATGATGTTTATTTTCTACTTGACACATGTTTTATTCATTTCTTCATTTCTTTTGGATTAATTGAATGTTTAATGTTTTCTTTGTTGACTTATTTTCTATAACTTTTTTTTGTTTTAGTGATTTTACACATTTTAAACTTATCAGTCCTACCTTCAAATTAATATAGAGCCTCAGAAAGTTACCTCCATATGCATAAGTAAAATAGGTTATAACTGTAAGCTCATGTACTTAGGAGCTGCATTTCTTACAACACACGATTTTGATTTTGACATTTCCAAAATAAGTCTTATTTTTAAAAATAAATGAGTTCCCATTAGGCAAGTCAGAAAATTATGAGTGTATGTTGACACAGTCAGTGAAAAAAGAAATAAGCAGGAATTCTCATATGAGACAATGTTACAGTGTTATCTATCCAATGTCAAATTTTCTGAAAAATTAAACCACTTCAATATTATAAATAAGACAATTAGCTAAACTCAGCTAATGTAACTTGTAGTTTTGAAATCAAATTTGCCAGTTTGTTTATAATATTATAACTAATTCAAAGTAATAAAGAAAAGACAATAGTTTACTATGTATTACTGACAAAACTAACAACAATAAACTATACAAAAAAAACACAGCACTTACTATTATAATAAAAAAAAATACCTTATGATAAGAAGAAACTACTTCAGGACATAAACATCTCCATTCCCACAGAGAAGGGAATTTTATAAAAATAAATGAGAAAATGTATACACACACACACACACACACACACACACACACACACTGAGTGGCTATATATTATGATCTATGAATGCATAATAATCTGGCCACTCAGAATGTGTGTGTGTGTGTGTGTGTGTGTGTGTGTGTGTGTGTGTGTGTGTATACACACATACTAGTAGCCTAGTGCATGAATTTGTGCACAGGTGGGGTCTGGATGGCCCCGCCCCTGATTTAGCCTAAGCCAACTTGAGGAAGGGGCCACCCCCTGACCAGGCAAGTTGACTGGCCACAATGTGTGTCATAGTGACTGGTCATTCTAGTGTTCTGGTTGCTTGGCTTTTATATATATAGATATTTTTTATATATTCAAATTACTATTTTGCTTTCTTGTTTCCATGACTATTATTACTAGGAATTTTACTTATAATTTCATATATCCTTTATAGATCTGCTCATTTTCTTTAGAGAGGCCCTACACAACTTAGCAATTAATTTTTCTAAACTCCAACAAGCCAGTTCCTGTTGACTCTTAGTATTATTTATGTCTTGTTTTCCATGGTTACTTTCCATAAGGGAAAAATGTCCTTATTCTTTACAAGTGCAAATTTAACTACAAGTTTTTGTCCTAATAAATATAATAAGTGAACTGAATGTTTCAGGGAAAAATATGTGCCTGTGAAATATTTTATTGATGCACATTTCTAAAGGAAATATTTACAGAGTTTTCTAATTCCTTTATTTGTGCCTTTCTTTTTGTTGTTATTGTTGTTGTTTTAGACTGCTGGCTCTAATATATTTTTGGAGTATGTGTATGGAATCTAATGTAGATCCAGAAATAAGATTTATTATTTCAGCAAAACAATATTAACATAATAGCAATATTTTAGATTTACTGTAAGTGGCGTAAATTAACTTTTTAAAATGTATGAATGCCTTTTCTGTTTTTCATTAGTCATAGCTGACTAAGCCTCAGGAAAGCAATGCCAAGGAAAATTATATATGTGCATAGGCATGTCTAAATATATGTATGAGTGTGTGTGTGTGTGTGTGTGTGTGTGTGTGTGTATTTGCACAACAATAGTCAATTGGAAAAAAAATAAATGCTTTGTTCTTTTCATTTAGATTCAAGTTTTCACTACCCTCTCAGAGCATTTATAAAAATTATAGTTAACTTCAGTATTCTTTTTTTTTTTACAAAATTCCACATTAAACCTTTTATAATTGAGCACATGATAACAGTCTCATCACAGTCCCTTCATTCTTAATTTTTCTAGTCTACAATATGTATTTTATAACATTTAACCAACATTTATAATTCTCTACAACATGGACTCAGATACATTTTTTTATTTAAAAGTCAAATGTTCCTTTGCTCTCATGAAAGTGATATTTGTTTTATACTTTTGGAGCTGTTTTTATTGCAGTTAGCAGGAAAATTGCAAAATTTCACAGACACTTTCAGTATTTAATTTTTAAGGCTATAAGCCAAAGTAAAAACAATAATAAATTTCAGGAAGAGTACTTATATGGAAACAGTACAAATTAAGATGAATTTTTTCATCCAGTATATTAGTCATAATATCATAGTGCTTAAGTAAACCTGAATTCACATTTTGGGAGCTTTCATCTTTGGGGGGGAAATGAAGCTTCTAATATTTTATTTTGTCTCTCTCCCTGGAAAATTATACAGGATTTGTAAAAGCACACGTCAAAAACATTGCAGCTTTACTCTGGATTCTCTATAAAAGAAAATCCAAAACCCTATTTCCAATAAGATTTTGTTGGACCTTAAAGATTAACGACACATATTCATCAAGTACAGCCTACAATACCTTGGTGAACTCTCTAATTTAGTTGTTACCAAAAACATCTGATCATAACACTGGTGAGAGTGTTTATGAAGAAAT